TTTTGCGTGCACCCCTTTAATTAGCAATCACGGCGAATCGAACGCGTTAACCAGCGTTTTCCTGTCTCGCGTCGTGCAAAAAGGAACGCGTGACGTGCGTGCGAACACGGCTTTTCTTTCGTTCGTCCACGGTAAAATGACGAGTCCGGTGACTTGGCTGCACGAATAGTGGAAAGGGGATTTACAGTTACGCGTATTACACGAGCCTTCGCGGCGTGTTCTTCAACATCTTATCTGCTTTGAAGTTTCAGATGTACTCCAGCACGACGTTGATATAAAACGAAAAGCGAACAGCAACTTTACTTAAAGTTTTTCAGTGATCTTTTTGAGATAAGCTGTTAGCTTCGAGTTAAATCCGCGAGATACAAAGCAGCGTCAACTAAAATGTTATTATAATAATAAATCTGTTCGTATAAATCCGCGATTTTATTCCGAATCGTGATATACATATAACTCCGATTACGAGCACTTGCATGAAAAGTCGTGCAGTTTCCCGTTAAATCCCGATACGCGTGGAATAATAAGCAGTTCCAGTATCGAGTCGATATTTCTTTTGAAGCATGGGAATATTTATCGTAATCTTATCGATCGTATCCGATGCTACTACGATATTTGGTTTTTCGAGCAAAGACCTCCCACTTTCATAAATACGAGATTTATTATGTTTTTTTTTTAAAGCTTTTTTGATTATGATTAATGCATATTTTTCAAGGAAAATTGTGCCATAAAATTTATATTCGCTAACAAGTAGTTTTAGGAATTTATAATTAATGAATATATAATATAAAATTTCTCATAAAAACGGATTTTAAAAAATTCTAATCGACCAAGTAAATTTTTCTTCTTATATCTTATTGCGCATATGTATACATATTGCACATATATGTTTAAGATATAAGAAGAAAAATTTACTTTGTCAATTACAATTTTTAGAATCCGTTTATGTATACATATCACACATCATTGCATTATCATTCGTGTTTTCCGAAGATATGTTATCAAAATGAAATATACTCTGTACCAATAGATAACTATATCAAATTACTATATCAAATACTATATCAAATTTTCATCAACAAATATTTCTTCTGCTTTCTTTTTCTTCTCTAAAAACTTATAAATATTTTTTTACATCTTGTACATTCTTTACAAGCATGTCTCTGGCTCTTCTTGTGTGCAAATTACGCTTTCTCAGATCGAAGGTGATAAAATCGTTTACGAACTGCTGAATATACGGCACGTGTGGGAACACAACTCGATCGCTCGCGTTTATCATACGTTTTTCGGGTCCTTGCTCGACACGCGAAGAAGCCGATCGATCGCGTCGAATGATAGCGTGCACAATGCAGGCGTAAAGTGAAGGGTGTTTTATTCGTTTTCCCGCGAACACCGGGTGAAAGGCGAGAAGCCGTGATATTCGCGAAATATATTATTTTCCATCGTTCCGTTTCGTGAATTTTCCGCGGAACGATGCGTCGGATCGGTGGGTTTTTCGCGTGTTTGCTTCCCTCGCGATGATGTTGACGCGAACGAATGACAGATTACGGCGTTTCTGTCGCGATAATTGCGCGTGCCGCGACGAATGGAGAACGAGGACGCAGGAATTATGTTAATTATTGTGTAGCCGAATTGTTTGTCTCGCGAACTACGTTACGTAATGTGCGATAGATCGTTATCCCGTTGTTTTGTGACGGCGCGTCAGGAGGCTGCTTCCTTCTAAAAGAATACTTCCTTCTACGACGCAGCGTTAATCACGAAATGGTTATCTCAATTGTGCGATACATATCGCCAACAAATTGAATTTAACGCGATTGATATTCTTTATTATATTGAAAACAGTTTTGCGAAACATTGGTCAATTTTTCGACTGACTGAACGCCCAATCGTAGCCCATTTTCCACGTGAAATTACGCGTATTATTATCAAGATCTCAAAGATTGATGCGTGTTTCGCGGGACACCTCGTACATACGTATATACGTATCGCATTTCGCAGCATGTTCAAGCCCGGACGCGAGCGTTATAGTATACATCAGCGGACGTTATCGCGCTAGTACTCTGTAGCGCAACGCTTTTATGACACGCTCGATAGGCACGCACGCACTTCAATGCACGCGCGAAAAAATGAAAACGACGGGTTAACAGTCCCTCTCTCACGTGTCTCGAGATCATGTGAGGTGAGATGACAGCGCTACAATAATGATGAAAATGAGGACGATGACATTGGTTGGAGTACTCCACTAATAGAGTATTAATAAAAAAAGACTAGATTGCGTTCACGATCTACTTCTACAGTACACTTTGCAAAATTGCACAATATTGTGCACATACTTAAGCAGATCAAAACTCGTAAATTAAGTTTGCGAAAATGATCGCACTAATTACGGAATTTTGAAATTTGTCAGAGAACAAAATTCATGCCTAGGAAGAAACGGCTTATTCGTAACAATTACGTTCTTCTGAGGACCTTGGAAGCGACAGCTGTTGAGAAATCGAGGCGGTAGTCTTTCGACCGCAGATGTCGAGAAATCGATGGCAGAGACGGTTTTTCAGGTAGATGCAACTGTCGGAAGATCGGCATTGTTTTCTGACGACCAGTTGTGCTAAGGTTGATTAGTGTTAAAATTCGGACACAATTGAATTTTCTTTCTCTCGCTTTTACCGCATCGACATAAGGCTGCAAAATTGAATCTAATTCTACATTATTTCGAATTGTCAATGCGATTCGGAAATAAAAAAAAAATTATATATTTCTAAATAATAAATGACGATAAGTTTTTGTTACAAAATTTCAATACTATCAAATAATATTTTGCTCTTATGTTTCTTAATTTAATAATTATCATAACGTTCTGCGAGCACAACAATATGTGTTGCTTTGCCCGTCCAAAATTCAAACGTCTCGTAAACAATGCCAGTTTTCTCAACAGCTCGCAAGATTATGCTTTTCCGTGAGACGTTGCTATTACTTTGGCGTATTTACACGGTCGTTCCTACCGTTAGGCACAGAAAGGCGCGGAGAAATCTAATGTCTTCCACGAAATGCGTAGGTGGCAGATAATATTTTTATACATATTTGTGTCTCTGTGTACATCAAGGCACAGGATCCTTTATTGCCGTTTTATCTCATCCGGGAAACTAGAAATCCTATCTAACATACCAGAATCGGAGTGTATCAGTTTAACTTATCAAGCCAGCAAATAAAAAAAATTCTTGTCGTGCCTCGAAACATATACATCATCTTTGACACGTACAAGATAACAAAAAGAGACACGGATATATGTACAAAGGCAAGCAGAATAATTTATGTTTGTTTATGCACGATGTCCGACTACCATTGTCTAACATTTTATTCATTAACGCGCCTCTGAAAATTAACAATTAATCTTCTACGATGAACAATTAATCTTTATCTAAGTGGAAATGTTGCAATATTTTCATTCTCTGCGCGTTCGATTGCATTAGCAATGTTGTATTCTATTCTTTCTATCTTGTCAATATTATTATATTAAGTATTTTTTAAACTGCAGTTCATTTTTGTTATGTCTTATTTTCAATTCTCTCTCTTTCTCTATCTTATTTTTATCTGTATATCATTCGCGACGCGTGGACGGCTGAATGCAATAAGTTGATCGCGTGTGTCGTCGACTTTTTTTTTTATGCGATTGCGTGGGCACGAAGCAGTTTGAGCGGAACACGAGTAGCCACGGCCCGAGAAGGGTCTCGAGAAGTTTCTCCGCGTCGAAGTTTGAGTCGGAATGTCTATCGTTTAGGGAAGGCCCTTTGGACTGTCGATTCCAGGAAAGGACTTTATGTTGCCTGAAGAGAAAGAATAGATTAGTCTGACCTTGCTAACGTTTTCGAGTCTCCATTTTCCGTTGAGAACAATTTTAAAATGGAAAGCGTAAAAATTCTTTTCTACGCGCAGGAAATAGACAATTTTCAACATGACACGTTCATGAATAATTTCATCGTAATTTTCATTATACATAGTTCAAAAGTGTGCGCTGAAAAATATTAAATTCGCACGGAATATAATCGATTGATGAATAAAAAATATGTATTTCAATGTCGAGAAAAGAAATACATTGAAAAATATATTTTGCTAAAATATGCCAAACAAATTTTGTATTTATACGCGAGTGCATCGTGTCGACTGATGAAAAACAGGAGGAATCGTAACGCTTTGTTACAATTCCCCGGCTGTAGTAAATTGTCGGATGGTGAGTCAGTAATGGAACAAACCCCGTGAGAGTTTGTAACAAAGTTCGTTACGAAGGTAAGAGGAATTCGTGAAGTGAAAGAGGCGGGATTACTCATTCGAGGCTTGCAGTCGGTCGGCTTGGACGACCGCTTCGGCGTTTTCTAGCGTCGAAGAAGAACGCCGAAGCCGACTGCTCCGCCAATTGAGGTCGATTAAGCGTAACTCCCGGAGAAGACACGCGCGTTTCTCTCTCGGCGATGCGAGCCGCGATAATCAAGACTCGTTGATGTTTTTCGTTGAAGAGCGATAGAATGAGACACCACGCCTTTTCTCGTACGTTGAGAATCGAAACGCGACGAGTTTCGGTGAGTTCTATTTACAGATTCACGCTCTTACGTCGATTGTCTCGCGGCTCAATTGTCATGAATGAATTGCAGATCGCGTTTCGCGTGGCGTGAGCGTCGAAAACTGATCCGTGGAATTTTACTGGTTTCAGACTTCATTCGCGAATGTCTGAGTCTAGTCTTTTCGGTGGCAGAAAAGTGTGATGTTCAGCGTCCGACGTGAAAGAACAAATTTCAAGACGCACACCTCTCTTATTGTGTATTTACATCATGGTTATTTCGACGATCGAAAGTTGATGCTTTCTTCGGCGATAGTGTATATACATATATATATATTATGTGATCAATATAACCCTTTATTTTACATCGAAATCTTTTTGAATACCATGTGGTTTTATCGATCCGCTTCTGTATTTCTGTCGGAAATATCATGTTTTTTTGGCCGTACAATACCTTTTATTCGCAGAACGTTGATTTCACGTCTCCCCGGAAAAACGTCAGCACTGCTTTCTCGTCACTCGACGATGCTGTGACTAACACTGCACTTGGGTTTCGATTCTGACCCTCAGTCCCTTGAAGGGTCCAAAGCTGCGCACGCGTATACGCACGCGATAACGATTTTCGAGATCGACGATCTTTCCTTCTCTCGAGAGAGAGAGAAGAGTGAGATCACACTTCGTGTTTCTTCTTTTTTTTTCCCCTCTCGTAGGATGTATGCGAGAGACAAAGGCGCGCACACCGGAACGCCGGGAATTCGGATGAGAGAGAGAGAGAAACGAAGCTCTCGAAGTAACGCGTCCCTCTCCCTTTCTCTCGTTTGCGAGACGCGAACACACTCGTTCCCTCGACTGTACCTTCCGTCGCGTTACGCACCGACTGGGCCCGGAGATCGACTGACTCGCAATGGCGAGGGACTCGCTCGTGGGCCCCACCACCACTTCCAACATCTTTCCCATCCTGCGGCTCGGCCGGGGTACGGTGCAGAGGGGGGGCACCAGGTGCGTACAGCATTTCGTCGTGAAATCGCACGCCGAATTTCCGCATCGGTATTTTTTTCCCGCAGTCAAACACAGTTTCACTTTTCGTCGACGCCGCGCCGATCTGGCCGTGGCGTTTCGTTGACAAACACGCGATTCGATATTAATAAAAACAACGAGCGCGAAAATAAATTCCCATGCGAGTAGACGCGAATTCCGCGGAAAATGCAAACGATTGGATACAAATATTTATTTCCGCGCAATGCGTTTCGTAATGCATACTTCGGATTCGCAATTCCCGCGAATGGAAAATGTGACGGCGAATGGAAGGCATTATTAGAATAAATTGAAGGCGTAGAGAACATTTGCATTTGCCTTATGCGAGTGAAGCCGTTGCGAGTGATATACGCTAGCATAAATCGTGAAAATGCAACCGCGACGATCTGCATTCGCTGCGCTCGTCTGATAGCCGCTTCCTGTCGCTCCGAAATAATCTGGCCTCTTGCATTTCCTGCCCTTTTCTGCCACCGAAAAATTCAGCGAGGCGCGAATTAATTCGTCACGCGAAAACATTTCTCTCCGCCGCTTTAGAAGAAAGAAATGCTTGCGTAATTAAAATTCAAACATCCGAGAAAAGTCCAATATGGTGTCATTGTAATAATTATGCTAACGGCGTCGTTAAATCCCTCTTTTTTTTTTTTTATCTTTAACTGACATTTTGCTATTGTTGCGAGCGAATCTTCAAGTCTACAGACGGATTTCTTTTCCTCCTGAATTTCGGAGGTTAATTTGCATGTCGGCGAAGTCCTTGGAATGCGAAATCGCGGTAGAGAAGCTCGTGCGGCTGCGGCGTGCCAATAAAAAGGTACCGTTTTCGCGACGAGCGGTCGCGAGGAGTTCAAGGACCAAGAAGCCCCGCGTGCTCGCGCGGCGAGCGAGCGAGCTAATCCTCGCCCGAGTAAGTCGGTGCCTCGCGACGATGCACGCATCGTGTGAACTCACCTTTGCTTTCTCGACCTGTATCTCTCGTGCGCCCGCAAGAGGCGACCAGCATCTCTCGACTGGAGCGAGATGAGCAAATACTCCGCCTGTCCCTCCTGCCTGCCCTGCCACTCGTTTTCGCTTTCCGTCTCTTTCCTACCGTTTTCCTTTCTCACTTTCAGTTGGCCTCTGTCTCCCTTCCGTTCAGCTGTCGCCTCCTCTCCGTCGTTCCAGATGGGGCCCAAGGTTTTCAGCTCGGTGAATACGCGGTAACCATGCCGGGAACCTGTTCCCCTCGTCCCACCCTCCCTCCTTCCCTCGCCCTTCGCGCAAGGGGGGTCGCTTCCAAGCTCTTTAAAGGCTGTGCGTTTCCTCCCGTGTCTTTCCCGGTTCCCTTCTCTCTTTTCACCTGAGTTTGTTATTATCGTTGCTATCGCGCGCCGCTACCATTAACGATGTTATCATCGTTAGATGCAATTAAGATTGCGCTACTGTTGCTCATTTTGCTAATTTCGCCGTCAGTTATACATTTGCACGAGAGATTTGTGACTTCCTGTTTGATCTACGAGATGTCTAATTTGTTGTATTGTTTATTTTATTGTTCATCTGAGGAAACAAAATATTTTTATACTCTTTGTTACTTCAGCTACGATTTTATCTGCTTCTTTTACAACGTCGAATATTTATTACATGGGATTCACTCAAAGATATTTTTTTCTTTTGTCGTTTCTTTTATAGTTTCTGAAGTTTTCTACTGCGAACCTAATCTTTTGGGGACCCAAATACCTGAATTCTGAAATTCCTAAGATTTCACCGTCGTGGTGGAAATACTGTAAACCGTTTTTCCTGACGTGAAACGTATTTTCCTGGCAACATTTTTGATAAATTGCCACGGTTAAAAGTATAAGAACGATTACCAATGGAAAAATAACGACTGAAATTACAGTATTTTTTTTTATCGCCTAAGCAAATTTATGCTACGACTAAAATTAGCCTAAATTCTCTCAAAAGAAAGATCAACTACTTTGATCTTTGTACCAATTTCGACGTCAAATATTTTTCTTAAAATTAAGATTGCAATACGAGCGATGACGTAATGCGCCTTCGAAATTTAACATTATTTTCACCATTTTAATGGTATTATTGCTAATTTACGAGTTAATTAAAATGTTTCTCGATCAATATTGATTTCCATGCGCTTAATGAGCGGAAGAAAGGACGGATGTGTAAAAAATATGTTCTGATATTCAATATTCAACTATGTTTAATAAACACGAAGTAATTGAATCAATTTAACTTATGAATTGCATCATTTATTTACCTCAGCATTGTTGCTTTTCAGATTGATTATATGTTAGTACTGGAAAATTTACGATTCACTAATTTAAACACGTAATCAAAACCATGCTATTGTTTTATTGAATTACAGAGAATTAATGTACGCTTGGCACACATATCTGAATTAAAGAAATGATTATCAAAACATATTCAATCGTCTCAACATTTTTCATCATCGCGACACTCGGCTGTAGAATAGACAATGATAGATCACGATTATATAATGCTTCAGTAACGACTAATCTAGCCGACTTACGCCTAATCGACGCTGGTGGAATCGGCGGAACCGCGAGCGGCTCGATTTTCCATCCGGCTGCATGGAAATTGTACGACGGTGCATTGAGAGGACGAGAACGGTTTCGCGATCGGCGACGAGGGCGAGTGACGACGTCGTTATCAGTGCACCGGCGGAGTATATTCCACTTACCTAATTGCCGGTTGTCCGTCGCGGTTAAGTTACTTTGCCGTTAAGAGCGAACGTCGAACTACGCGGCTGCGGCAGCATTCATTATCCGCGTCTCGCAGCAATTATTATTTCTAATGAGCGTGTGCCTCGCGGCCCCGGAGAGAGCACGGATCTCGGCCACGTTCCTTCGTCTTTGTTTCCGGCCGGCTTTATCGCGCAGTCGATAGTTCTTACGACTCTCTTGATCATCCTTCTCTCTCTCTCTCGCTTGCTCCCTCGTTTCCTCCGTTCATCTCCCGGTTGCCTTCTCGGAGTAACGCGGTTGTAAAGGAACTCCCGGCTGCGTAACTGCTTCGTCGGGGTTCCGCCGTTCTCCTTTGTAAAGGCGAGTCTACACGGTTCCCTCGCGATGCTCGTTGCTCTCCCGGATATGTGCCGAAGAAGGGCGAAGGCGCGTAGCCTCGTTCTAATGAGATTCATTATGCTCGATGAAGATAAGAATAATAAAGTTGATCTTAATACTTGAGTCGCTCATTAAATAAATATTATATTGGGTTGACTAGAAGGTTTCTTCGGATTTTTCGATCAAATCGAAAGGCAAAATCCTATCATATCCGACATATATAAATAATTTATCGATATATTCTAAATAATTCATATTTTAACGAGAAATCGTTAATTTTCCTTTTTTATCGGAATGCATGTAAATGTTTCTCTTCTATCAAGAAATGCCCGAGTCAAGCGAAACTTCAATTATGTTAAACGGTTAACATTTGTTAATAATGTGAATAGCGTTTGAAAGTTTCATGCATCTGAAGAAAATGCCATTCATCGACTCGCCTTGAACTATTCGCCCGCGTCGATCATCTCTCGAAGCGAACTGTGTGAAATCGCCTTAAGGTTCGCCTTTTCCTTCAACCTCGGCGTAGCATAGTGTTGTATGGTACGGGGCCTGTAGGCCCGTGAGCGCGGGACGAGGGGAGGAAAGGGCTGCGTGTAGAGAGTTCCACGGCTACCGAGTCGGGCGAAGGAAATTAATGAATGGCGGCGATCTCGTCGGCGTTAATAAGCGCGCACCTGGTAACGGAAGTCGTCGTGCAAGGAAAAGGGTGGCCTTTCCTCGTCCTTTCCAGGAGTTTGGCGGTCGATGTTGAGTCCTGATTTTCAGGCGATTCACGTAGCGTCTCGACGTCGTCCGCCAAGCACGACGTCCCTAATGAACGCTCTAACCCTTTGAGACTCGTCGGACGACGACGCAAAGCGTAAAATCCTCATCCCACAGGTCGGGAGTAATATCTTTCTGGCCCACATAGAGAATATTTGAAATTCTCTCATATATAATGAAGAAATTTTAATTATAAAAATCTTCATTAAGCTAACAAGCATTTGCGTCCGTCGAAAAATCGAGGCAACGAAAGTCGAGCTGCAATTTTCAATTAACGTGTTTTCAAATTTACATGTCTCACTTTGATTCAAAATTATACGCAACTTTTCATTATCATTCTTTACACATGGATGCTTAACGCTGTACACGACACTATAAATGCAATCGCTGCAATTCGCGTGGGCGGCATACGCGAGAGGCCTTGCGAAAGAATCCGCCGTTGCGAAAATAGTCGTCGCGGATCGGCTTTTCGACGGGAAAAGCTCGCGCGACACTCGCGGCTAATCGCGCTTAATCGCTCGTCATTCCGTTTAATTGAGAGACCGTGGGGTGACCGGAGATTTGGCCCTGACATCTATTAGCCCGCTGCCTTCTGCCGGTGCACAGCGTCCGCGAGCGGGACTGCACGGCTCGCCGAATGCAGCCACGAGATACAAATCGATCTGTGTGTGTGTGTGTGTGTGCGTGTGTATGTGTAGGTGAACGCGCACACGCGTCCATTCGCGCGTGTTCCCGCGCGAGTATGTACCCTCGGGCGAAGCCGGCCTCGACGTTCGTCTTCCCACGAACCCTTTACTGTACGTACGAGTCTCGTTACTCGTTCCGGGATCAGGAAACACTCCCATTAAGGCCGTTTTACACGGTCACGCGAACAGCTCTCCGTTCGGCGCGCCGAAGCGAGTGCCGCGATCGCGTGTAAATCACCTGTTCGGTTCCAAAAGGCACGCGACGCAATCGCGGATTCTCGATGACAAGATCTTGCGAAATCCGGGATTTTCAATCTTAAACGCGATCTTGCAATTCCGCTCGCGACGGGAAGCAATTT